GCGCCATTGAGTCAATGATCGACGATTGGCGGAGAAAGTTCATCCAGATTTTCCGGTGTGGTTGCTCGTTGTCAGTGATGCAGGACGGAGGGCCTGACAAGGACAGTTTCTAGTCGTTCGGATGGGGCGAAAAATCGAGGTCCCAATGGCGTGCACGTAAAAGATCCCTTGACAGTTAGAATTTGATATAAGAGTAGTCCGTAATGCTGCTGTCCGGGCAAAATTTTCCTCATAGCACACTGTACGGCGTATACCCGTCTTCATTAACACAGTTCGGAGCAGAATAGTAGGCCGTTAAACCCTATTTCATTGGTGGATATTGTGATAGTAGACGTGAATTCACAATGGGCGGAAACAGTGCATATGTATAGTGGAATAGATATCACCACATTGGATGAAAAAGATGAAAATCAACCTGTAGATGAGAGTGTTACTGTTTTTGGCACTTCAGATGTATTTAATTCCTAACCAAAAAAATATTAAATGAAGAGAAAAAAAAACATATCTACCGTAAGACCTATTATTAAAAAACCATTTAATAACCACAAAGGTGACATCTGCCATTTATATTTTAAAATCTAACGTGGCAAAAAAACATTAAAAGTATTTTCCTATATTTATTAAGAAAAATATATAGATGTACAATTAAATAGCCGTCTTTTGACCTGAGAAAATAGTAGATAACAACCGGTTGATATATTTATTATGTCTGTTTTTCCGTTTGTTATAACACAAGCTGTTCCCCCCATATACATCTACTTCAATGTAATAACTACTTTCCTTTTTCATCATTGAGACATTTTAATGGACGAAACCCCAGTCTTCTTCCGGATTCCGGAAAGGACCAAGAGGACATGGTGTTACAAATTGACGTGAATCGGTAGTAATTTTTTATCGTTTCACAAGTTGTTGGAAAAGACGAACAAACAGTGGGAGGACAATTCCAGACAATGTAGTAATTAGGTTTCTAATCAACTTTAGTTTCAAGGACACGGAATGACATATTTTCTCCCATTCTCGATTTATGTTGGCAGTGTACTCAAAATGATAGGAAATGAAATGGGGCTTAACGTCCTACTTTTCTGCACCGAAGACGCGTATACGCCACACAGTGTACTAGGAGGGAAAATTTTGCCCGGACATAGGGCCTTTTTTTGGTAAAATACTGGTAACGAACCCCGGATCTCTCCTAGTTAGCTAGCCACCATCTTACTCACTGAATCTCGACGGCTACCAGTGTACTCAAACATGATTATATGCGGTAAATTCAGGCCCCGCCAATACCATGTTTAATACCAAGCACGATATATAATATACATTTATTAAGATATAATATACTGGTCCCAAAATCAACGATTCGAGCAATGGTAACATACCCCGTTCAGACGCTTAAGTTGAACTGGTTTAAAAACCCCGGGAATCGTTAAACCAGTTTAACTTAAGCGTCTGAACGCAAATGTGGGGGTAAATAAACCAGTTTAAAAACCCCAGCTCGCGACCTGTCTTCGAGAAGGCTTTTTTATTTTAAACTGGTTCATCTTAGCCGTCTGAACGGGTTGGCTTAAAACCCGGCTCCAGCTTGCTTTGAGCATGCGCAGTACGCAGTATGTTACATTCCTGTGAAAATATCGGGGTCAGACAGTGCCAAAGTTAATTGTTATCGAAATCGTGCGAGAACCGAATAAAGAATATGAAGCTACCCATGCGTAGTTAAGTGTAACCTCCGACCGAAGAGGTCAGAATAGTTAAACTGGTTTGGCTTATAGTACGTGTGAACACAACAAGATGCTGACTTAAAAAAAAACAGCGATTATGAACTGGTACATTCTAACTTTACAATGATGTATATTGATTTTATAGTGATAATAGTTGTGTTATCTTTTTCGTGCAAGCATGCCCACGCGCGATGCCCTATCTCTCACTATGTTTCTGTGCCAAATTATCCAGGTTAAATCAAAATATGGTCAGGGAGATCAAATTGCACTGCTAACACCAATGATAAAACTATGCCTTCCAGTCTCAGTGTTTCATAACCTACAATTTGTTTGACGTTCGCAGACTAAATGCACATGATTAGTGATTTGAACTAATTGTGCCTATTTCACGTCTGTACTAGACATTACTCTGTTTGGTTTATTAGCTGTACTCGCATACTTTAAAGCCCGTCGTACACAAGCAAAGAAAATTTGACCGTGTACGAAGCCAGCAATTTATTTGACGTCCTATCGTACACGAGCATAAGTTCCAAATCTTTGACACATTTATTTGACGAAAAGCTATGCATGCCAGCTTTTGTCAAATCTCATATGGCAAATGAAAATGTGGCAAATTTCCTCTCGTACACGAGCAAATGTCTTTGACAAATCTCCATTTGTCAAATACATTTGCTCGTGTACAACGGGCTTTAACCCAAACATTTTCATGAACCGCGGAATTTTTCTTTACGGAATATATACGAACCATTTTAATTATGGACAAATCTTGGCCTTTCAACAAACATCAAGTTTTGCGTATGTTTGTCTGTCAGTCTTTTGAGCTTCTATGGAATCTCTCTAACATACATGTATATAGTCGGATCGGGACAAATACTTCCATATGCTCATGCCTATGTTTTTATCCTTGGAAGGCTTCCCCGTGTCCATCACATGTATTATTGGATGTGAACTATTGACACCTTTGTGTTTCTACAAATAATCACAGAACATGACTTTCTTTCTAATGTTCGATACTTTATGTAGTATTATTGATATCGGGCTATGCGAAATAAAAATCGTTTATCATTAACATTAACATGTACTACTATTCCAATGGCCACGTTAAGGGGCTTCTAGCCTTTACAAGGTTTCTAACCGCCTAAAGTTCATCTCCATTATCCATTACGCTGTCGGCTTTCAGGGTATTTAGAATTAGTGACAGTACAATGGTAGTGAAAAAGAAAGAAGGTCATGTGCAAGATGTTTTTGATGAAATAAAATATGATTATAAATCTGGTACAAGGACAAAGGATGCCGAATCCTGAATCATGGGCCAAAACAGTTTTAATCGCTGAAATCGTTATGGGTATCGCGACGCGTAACCCTTGTCAGCTCTGAAGTCACCAATAATAATAAAGGGGGTTGGATGGCCGAATGGTTAGCACGTGCGCGCTGTATCATAAAGCATGTCATTGAGTCAACTGGCGTGGTTTCGAATCCCCGGTTGTACGTGACAAGGAGTATGGTTGCCTGTCCAACCTCTTGGGTTTTCTCCGGGTCCTCCGGTTTCCTCTCACTGCTAACGACCCCTACGCGAGAGCGAATTATTGAAATAAAATTAAACCATATGTTAGTCCCGAAATGACCTAGTTTGTGTCGAGTGGACGTTAAACCCCATCTCTCTCTCTCTCTCTATCTCTCTCTCTTCTCTTCTCTCTCTATTTCTCTCTCTCTCTCTGTCTCTCCAATACTAATAAAGCCGGGTAGGCAAATTGGAATTAATGAAAAGTCAAATGAACAATTCTGATTAGAATAACCAGATTCCTCAATTTCGGACAATTGACCAAATATGAATGTCTATTATAGAACACAAAATGAGCGATAATAATGAATATGGCTATGGTCGGATTATTGCTGGTTGGCACTGGTTACATAAACGTTATAAGATAGAGAGAGAGAGAGAAATGCGGTTTAAGTTTAACGTCCACTCGACACAAACTAGGTCATTTCGGGACTAACATATGGTTTAATTTTTGTTCAATAATTCGCTTGCGCATAGGGGTCTTTAGCAGTGGGAGGAAACCGGAGTACCCGGAGAAAACCCACGAGGTTGGAAAGGCGACCCTACTCCTTATCACGTACAACCGGGGATTCGAAACCACGCCAGTCGACTCAATGACTTTATGATACAGCGCGCGCACGCTAACCATTCAGCCATCCAACCCCCCAACGTTATAAGATAACTCGAACGACATTGATCTCACGGACAAAATGGGGTTAAACGTTCTTTTACCGGCGTACTCATTCTGGAATACCTGGTATTACTTAACTAATGTGGGCTTTCATACATTCCCATTTGTGAAGTTCACTTAGTAATGTTTCCATTTTGTCTTTCGTTTCTTGAAAGCATTCGGCACACATCGGCAAACTCTAGTACCCTACATCTAACCTCGGTTATTGGACGGTTTGTTTGCAGGGACAGCAAAATAGAATCTCTTGTACATCCGATTGTTTACCAGCAGCTCAAATAAGAGTTTTCTTGATAGGTTTTGACATTAATTATTTTACGCCATCAATTTATTTTTGCGAGTATTCATGGAAGTTGATTATTTTTACCCTATGTGACATTAAGATGTACGAAGGAACATTAAAATAAACAAACTATAAATAATAGGTTTTATTCCACACCTATTTAAAGTAGTCACTGTGTTTTAATGTCCATTATTTTCTCTCTTGGGACTTAAAGAGATATTAAATGAATTTACTCCGATTAGCTTAGACATCTTTAACGGTAAACAAGCCATCATTTGATATACGACTTCCGATGACAAGGAAGAAGGAAGTGAAATAAATTACATCTCTAGACACAAACAATTAGTTTAGAGTAAAATGTGTAAAAAGCAAATTATTTGAAAATGAAATGGCGTTTAAAGTCCTACCGTTCTGTTCCGATTGGGGTAATAAAGACAGGCATACGCCTTACAGTGTGCTATGAGGGAAATGTTGCACGGACAGCGGCGCTACGGCCTACTCTATATCGAATTCCAACTGCCAAGGGCTCTTTAATGTGTACACCGAACCTCGGGTTTTTCGTCCCATTCCTCTGACATGGAGGAGCCGATGAACTTTCTCGGCCAACACAGGGATCGAACACGGAACCCCTAGGTTAGCGAGCCAACGTCTTACTCACCGAGCCACCGTGCAACCGATAAGAGTTTGTGCTATCTATTATGTAGATACTTAATGATATTCTGAGAATATCACTTTCTCATTATTAGTTACATTGTATATTCTTATATTTTTCAGTGGATGGTATACGATGTTATGTATGTAACAATAGCAACAACCCGGCCTGTGGTCTCGAGTTAAAAACCTACCAGTTTGACGCTTATGACTGCCCTGCGCCAAATACGAAATGCGGAAAGCAGACACAGATGCCATTGGGGGAGGATACAGACAATCGTAGGTTTATTTAGTATAGGGGCATTATGGAAGATTAGATAAAGAGCTGGCAGCCCTAACTATAATAGTTAAAAACTAGATAATGTAAGGGAAATATGCTGAAAAATTCAGTCAAATTGCTCCACTCTGAACCGAGATATTAGCGATTAGCCTCCGTCATCATTACTAAAGTCGGTACGATAAAGAAAACACAGTCTCGATTATCCATTTTTGAAATTAATCATCAATGAGCGTTGAGCAGCAGATCGGATTCAAAACCAGTGAAAATCGAACACATAGGGTGGCAACGAGAGTTGATTAAGGTCTTGTCATGTTAACAAATGTCTAATTAATAGTTTATAAAACATTTCCGGCCTAAAGAAAGACCTCCAATAGGCAGATTCAGCTCTTACATAATGTATGTTTAGTATTTGATATAGTAAATAGTAATTACAGGATGACCTTATACTCAAAAGTTTGAAAATATAAAATGTTGAAAATATACTCAAAGTATATAAATTTTTAGCCAGCTTGAAATGTATCGTTGTCTGTTCGACAAGCCAGTCTTGGTGCGGTTTGCTAGCCAAATTGAAACGTAACGGAATTTGAATTCTTGAAACGAGTCACTAAAGTTCTCTGTAATTTCTTTTCTACATTATAATGTTTTACACGTAGAATTTTAAAGCCCTGTTTGTAAATGTGGACGTATATCATAATAATCAACCTTCCGCCCGTTGGTCCGTCGACATTTCTTATCAGTGCAATAGAAGCTACCGATTTTTCTGAAACTTTCAGGAAACTGGTATTATGACAAGACAATGATCCCTTTTCGGTAAAATCGAATAAATATTTTTGGAAGTTATGTCCCTTTTTTGCCGAACTGTCAACACTTATTGTCAGGGCAAAAGAAACTGCAATATTTATCAGATTTTTTCTGAAACTTGTAGCATGAAAAGACGCGGATCCTTCTTTCTTTTCTTCAAAATTGGATTAATATTTGTAGAGTTATGCCCCAAATTTGCAGACCCCTGTCCATACTGCCAGTTAGAGCGATCGAGGCCAGAGACCAGCAGTTTTCATAATGCCCCTTTTCCGAAAAGCTCGCGCCCGTGAAACAAAGCTGTTGTATTGAACGTATTTCTTTCCACGCTTTTCGGTGGCTATCTTTAGAAGAATCTACACTCGTCGTTTCTTTAGCGAATGCTTTGTGTTCCGATTTGGGCATAGTCAAAATCAGAAAACAATGAGCGTATTTAAATGGGTGATCAAGAAAACAGTGTATATCAGTTAGGTGGTAATAAATCCCTATATTGATGCATCTGAATGTTATATTGTGCATCATAATATTCCACATCTTGCTTGTATCAAAGTGTAGCAAAAATGATTCCTCTTTTGTTGTAAACATTTTAATTAGCCATTATTTCTCATTTGGCTTCCTGTAGAAACCCTATGAATCCGTATCACCAGGCAGTGGCTTTCACTACGATTTAACTTCCATGTGTTAGCGGCGTTAGTCGACTGTGTTAAACTATTTGTCTGAGCACAGCCCTATATTTTACAATTCACACACCATATTAATTTTAGCAATACATTTAATTGCACCAAAGAAACGCTTCTCTTACTTATCTAATGAGATAAAGACCATAAATCAGTGGCAAAAAATTTCAAATAACCGATGAAGTCTTTTACACCGCAAGTCATTTTTATGTTTAAACTTATTTTTACAATACAAAAGGATTGAAAAAAAGGTCTAGCAAATTATAAACGTCTTCTTCTTATGAAATATTAATTGATGAGACTAAACGTCTTCTTCTTATTAAAATATTAATTGATGAGAATATTTCAAAAAATAGATACGAAGTTATATTCCTTTCGTTGGAATAACCATTAATATTAATATAGTACATTATAAGGTCTACATATATAAATAGAATAATTCAACAAACAATACATATAAAATTGCGGAATACGACCTAAACACATCTACATTCTACATGTACAAAATAAAACATAATATACATACAAAGCGTGCACAGGAACTACTATATATAATATCATAAATTGTAGTTAGGTAACTCGTTTAGTTGATGTTCTATAAGTATGAACTGAGAAGATATATAGGTATTTTGTTCTATATTGTCCTCATATCCGCGAACATTTATCATGTTATTTCTTTTACAAATTTGTACGTGTTTACATGAGTAAGACGATGAATCTGACTTCCGGTAATTACTGATAATAGAGTTATTACCATCGATCACTTTGTAGAATCTTGTGAACAATAATGTCTGTATTATTTTTGAGTCCTACCATGATCCAGAATATACTTGCCAGGTATAGCGAACAAAACCTATATTCATGCTTGTCTTTGGAGTGGAGGGCACTCTCTTCACAAAATGGGTGAGAAAGCATTGGAGCGTTCCCGTATCAGGGCAATACATACCCAACAAGGGCATCGTTAACGGTGCAATATACGTCCACATTTCAGTTTTGATTGATATGGTACTTTTTAAAATGAAGATAATGAAATATGAAATGGATGCATTAACTGTAATATGACAAGAGGCAAAGAAAGCTAAGCGTTGGGTTTGTTTTGCCAAATTTACAGACTAAATATTAACAAAAATGTGGGTGTGACACCGCCCCAGGGGATCGGGGCATGCATTAAAATATATATTTGATGCCTTTACTATAATAGGAATAAAAATATGCAAAGTTCCAAGATGATCCATTCAGAATTGCAGCCTGTAGAATATAAATACAAAAATTGAGCGTATCTCTGCACCAAAAACCCTAGGGATCATCCTTAGGGTATAAGAAATAAGTATTGCAGTCTGTAGGCGACACACACATACATTCACACAGACAGGAGCGACGGCAATATACTTCCACTTTATAATGTGGACATATTAAACATCGATATAATTCGTTTATCAGTATTTGTTTTAAAGTATAGAATGTCTTAATTTATTATCGGGCTACATATCGCAATCCAGTTCTGCTTGTGATCTTTATACTGCAGTGGACTAACGGTGCAGTAGGCTGCCTAGCATTTTGGTCAGCTGTGTAGTCCTTCGGATGAGACGAAAAACCGAGGTCCGGGAATATATTGGAATGCACGTAAAAGATCCCCTGACAGTTGGAATTCGATATAAGAGTAGGCGATAGTGCCGCTGCCCGGGCAAAATTTCCCTGATAGCACACTGTATGGCGTATGCCCGTCTTCATTAGCCCAGTATAGGAGCAGAACATTAGGACGTTAAACCCCATTTCATTTCATTTCATTTCAGCATTTTGGTATTTTGCGCAAGCATAAACATTACACATCCTAAGTATTGATCACGTTTACCAACTGTCTCTTATACTGGCTTGTAATATTCGAATTTCCATATAGATTTTAGTGTAAAAAAAATATAATAAGACTTTTTTCTTATGTTGGTACAGAAATAAAGTAGTATCAGTGAAATTATGTTGACATTTCGAAATCTATGGTGTGAAATGGAAATCATTGTCCTAGGAGATTAGGGATTAAAAATGAACAAATAAAATAAGATTAGAATCTTGTTTCAGGATCTACAATATGAGTTCTTTGCTCTTTGCACATTATCTGTATTGTTTTGGGCGCCACTGAAATAAAAATTCTTCATCTAAGACCATGTAGAATATGTAGGAATTATAGCCGGTAGTATCAAAGCTTATCCTGTCACCGTTATGTCTATAAGTAAATACCTTGCATATTATGAACACACACGAACTCGGTGATTAGTTGCGTAATATTGACGTTCTTATTTCTTTGATTCAATTGACTCCTGATACGATAATTGCAATATTGACCCATTTTTGTCGTCCTTTGAAGAAGAAGGAAACAATGAAAACTGACGTGTTTAGCTTCTAGCGACATAATGATTCCTTGATGAATGGCTCGCATTTATGAAATGAAAACAAAAATAGACCTGTAACAAAGTACAATAGTATCACACACACAACAGGGAACTTGTACATGACGTTTAATTCATATACTGAATATCAATTTAAAAATTATAATAGTACATGTTAACAAGGTCAAATGCAATAAATACAGCAATCCAAACGAAAGATTCAAAGGCGTTTGTAAGCTTTAATGGTTTTGTAAAAATGCGTAGTCACTGCCAACCTGAAAGTAATAAAGAAGTCATAGGCAAAATTAAATACTATTTGGAGGTGGGTGTGGCTCATGGGTTCTAACATTAATATTTCTTAATCGCAGATTCTTTTTAACTTTAGATCCCTGCGTTGGCCGGAAACGTTCATCGGGAACTTTCTGCGTGGTTCCTCCTTGTCAGTGGTGCAGAACCGAGTGCCTGACAAGGGGCAACGTATAGTCGTTCGGATGGGACAAAAAAACGAGATCCCGTGTACACATTGTCTTGCACGTTAAAATCCTTTGGCAGTTGGAATTCGATATAAAAGTAGGCCGTAGCGCCGCTGCCCGGGCGAATTTCTCTTATAGCACACTGTACGCCGTATGCCCGTCTTCCTTAGTCCAGTAAAAGCAGAGCAGTAGGATGTTAAATTGCATTTCATTTCATTCATTTTTAACTTTAAATGGCCATAGCTTCGAATTGGTTGATTTGAATAATATTTGGACCAAGACTCTTTATATTTAATACAGCCTTTTCTATGTGCATGGTCTTAAACATTTTAGTTCACTGGATCGAAGGTTTTCGGCGCACCTCCTTAGATCACTCGACATTAACGGAGCAGGACTCGAATTCTTCATTGCGCTTCTTCCAAATTAAAAGATTGTCATCCAAGGACAGATCACAAACAATCCGCATTATTAGAGATGGCGGAATTGTCATTTCCTGTTGTCGTCTGATTCCTTACTAAATATTCTACATCAGAATTTTCATAGAAGGATTATTTTATCTGACAATCCATCTTAGGTCAATGCGACCACGACTTTTTACAACCATATGAATTAATAATAAGTATTGAAAGACGCAAGTGTCGTTCGTCAAGTTTCCTGTAAAGCACAAGTGTAGGAAAAAAGCTATTCAGAAACACTTTATTTTATCGTGCTAATAGAGGTATTCCTTTTCGCCATAAGATATTTTACATAAAATTTCCATCCGAATTACATCACACAGATATTTTCTAAAAACCCTCTGATTTCATTATTTATTTTTTTAGATTTGTGATTTAATGAGACTCCTGTCACAAAACTGGTGTAATTAAAATGAAATGAAATGGGGTTTAACGTCCTATATTGTTCTGTTCCGACTGGGCTAATGAAGACGGACATACACCATAGTTTGCTATTGCAATTGCCAAGGGATCTCTTACGTGCACGCCGATGTGTACAAGGGATCTCGGTTTTTGTGGTCCCATCGAACGACTATATGCTATCCCTTGCCAGACCATCTTTCCCGAACCGCTGACAAGAGTGAACCACGCCGGAAAAACCCGATGAATTTTCTAAGCCAACGAACACGGGACCTCTAAGTGGGGTCCCCTGGTGCAATGGTGTTTCAAATCCGTGTCTAAATCTATATTTCCAAATCCTATTGTCATTTAGCTGAGTCTGCCATGTAGTTTATCTGGCCAGCTCTGGCCGGTGTTTTCGCAGCCCAAGCCCCATGAGAAGCCACGGTGGTGAATCAACTGGTCTAACGTTTGGTCACTGACCAGGACTTCGCAGGTTTCATCCTGATCGTGGCAGAAAAAGTTCCTGGGTATCTTCCGGCCTGGTCTCGCCCCTTGTCAGTGGGGCTCGGTGAAAGGCTTTGCATCGATGTGTTTCATCGATGTGACAAAACCGGAATCCAGCTGTGTACCCGTTGGCGTGCACGTAAAAGAACTCTTGATAGCCCAGGATCCACGTCTGAATTAGCCCGTCCGGTACAGAAAAGTAGGACGTTAAACCCATTGCATTATAAACTCTATGACTAATCATCCCAGTCCTGTATACATGTATTTATTTTAAAAATCGTATTAAACTAATGGTTTGATTAATTATTTTTTTTCTTTTGTTTAATTTTAGCTGGATGGGTTGGTGTTATCAGGACGTGCTACGCTCCGGGATCACTTCCTGGTATCAATGAAACCAATGGCTGTCATTTGTGGACCAACTATGCAGCGAACTTCACGGCTTTGTACTGTTTTTGCGATAGTGACAAATGTAACAGTGCTGACAGTGTGTGTTCCGCCCGAAATGTTATCGTCGTCACCAGCGTTTTAAGTGCTTTGCTTCAGTTTATGCAATGACAAGGAATAGAAGGATGTTAAACAGTTTGTTAAGTTAATTGTTTGAAAGAGACAAGTTTCGTGATAAATATAATAAAATTTTCAGTGACAATGGCTGATAACCTTAAATGATTTCATCTTACGCAAATCATGTCTAAATTCGCTATTTTCATGGCATTTAAGTCTGGGTAGTCTCCAGATATTTATCTTAATTGTGTCGCTTTCCAGCTAGTCAACATACAAATGTATCATTAACTTTCATGTGGACGCATTAAGGCAATATTTGGCATTTATGGGAAATGAAAGGGATTGTTTCGGATAGTTTCTTAGATTATATAATATGTGTAGAGAATGACTACGAGATGAACAACAAATGATTACTTGAATAATCGATCATTGTTTCATGGGTTTTTTTTGAGGGGGGGGGGGTTGTAATCTTCGCGGTAGTAAAGTAGAATTGGACTCAAAATAGAATTGTGGCTCAAATGAAACGGTTATTAAACCCATCTTTAGATTTGACAAATCTATACCAGACGAATATTTTTTTTTTATTTTTTTTCATTATTTCGTCAATCAGTAAATATTTATTTTAATATTGCTCGATTTCGCTACAATGTTAGGATGGCGTTGTTCTTAATTAGGTTGTGGAAAAACATAGTATACATTCAATAATCCTTTACTGAAATAGAAATATATCAAACTTGATTCATATAAAGTAGGTGCATTATCCATTTCTCTAAGTAGGCCATTGCATAAATATAGTTACACGTAGGCTAGTTTATAAATTGACACGAGTAAACAAGAGAATTTCAGCTGAAAATTTGGTAACGTCATGATTCTGTACACACGTCTGTTTTTGGGACTGGCAGAACTATGACAGAACCGTGTCATTCGATTGCTGTTCCGTGAATTGGGGATTTTAGGGTTCCAAGTTCATTATTTATTATTGTCAGCCCAAATTTGACACATATTCCGGTCTCTTGTTTCTAGCGCTCAATGTGTATTTCGGAATGGCATCACTATGTTTATTCTGTTTTGTTTTTTTAGCTATAAAATACGCTAACCCAGTCCAAAACAATCATGCTCAAACTTTGAATGGTGTAAATGAAATGAGTTACACATTTAATTCGAATAAAAGCAATTGCAGCCCGATGCCTTATACTACAAACTTTATATTAAAGCACAATAGTGGTGTCGGTCATTATTACATATATGATAGAACTGGTTAAATACATTCCAAATATAATTTTAACACGGAGATCATTGCTACGGGAGATGTGTAACAAGCACGTGAAGAAACGGGAAGTGACGTCAAACATGACAAACATAAGTTGTCCTATATAACTGACTGAAGTGACGAGCACTAACAGACAAACGATCGAATTTCATTTCACTGATAATTCCGTTGAAGATGAAAAGTTGTTATATGAGACGATGAGAGGATATCTGACAATTCAAAAAAAGAATTGGCTGTCATTAGATAAAAGATAACGAACAAATTAGAAAAAGTCCGTGCATTACCATATTTTTATTAAGAACAGAATGAATAAAAACGGGGAAATGCACGGGATTTTTCTACTTTTTCTCGTGTCCCTTATCTAGTGACAGCCAATTCTATTTTTGAATTGTGAGATACCCTCTCACCGTCCCATATAAAAACTTCAACGGAATTATCAGTGAAATGAAATTCGTGTTTGTCATGTTTGGCGTCACTTCCCGTTTCTTCACGTGCTTGTTACAAGTCTCCCGTAGCAATGATCTCTGTGTTAAAATTATATTTGGAATGTATTTAACCAGTTCTATCATATATGTAATAATGACTGACACCACTATTGTCCTTTAATTACTAGAACACTGTGCAAATTCATATCACGAAAAGGCGGTGTTATTCGGTTATCATAACCTTACTGATGAAATTTGAGGAGTTGTCATATGGTCGACCTTCCGTCTGGCAGAAGAAGATTTAATTTACAGTGTTTGATTCACTATATTGATAGAAAATAACTAGTTATTATTCAGGACATGTGTAATATGGTAATATTTCATAACCATAATGACTGGGACATTGAGATGATATTTAAACACACTTTCCTGGACCTTTTATTGTTTCGTAGAGGACAGATTGGGAGTTCGCTTTCTTTAAAACAAATAAGGTCCTACTTTATTCACGAAAAAGTAATTATAAATATTTATGTATGCCATATTTTGACTAAAATCTCATCTCTGCAGCTAAGATTATAACTCTCGGTCATTAAGTAAGAGAACCCCTTAAGATGGTCTAGTTTTAGTTTTCCAAATCCTTCGGATATTGTCCCGTCCACATAAAGTATACAATTTTTACATCAAACATTTCACTTGAAGTGGCGTGTAAGTAAATATATGGATCAAGTTTGAAACTAACAGTAATGCAGTTTATTTTAACTAGTGCAGAATTCATTTAATTATTTTATAAAGTTTACGTTGTGTATTTCAAAATGTAACCATATTTTATGTGCTTTGCGGATATTAGCCCCGAAAACATAGAAAGTAGTGCCAATGCCTTATTTAGAGATCCGATAATTTAAATGTTATCTCATGGGATTAGTCGAAATTCAAAGATAAAGATCGCAAGGAGGACAAAGTTACTGGTGGATGCATGAATGTGGTTGATAAATTTTTGTTTAATAAAAAGCTTAATTATTGTATTCAACACAAGGACGTGTAGTTGTTGATGTTCTGGTTCTGTGAAACAGTTAAAACATACTCGTTTGTCTGGTATATAGTGTTTTATTATATTAATTTACCTGTACTTGGTTTTCTCGCACCTTGCTTTTCTCGAATATAAATGCATAATCACCCGAAGTTCGACATAACGAGGTTTAACTGTATTAAGAATTGTACATGTTTTATGTATTATGTTTTAAATGTTCAAGCACTGATATTTGTGGCGAAAGTTTTCTTTTACCCACATTGTATATTTACTAAGGACCTATTCTCGCACGTTGATAAAGGAATTCGGAGTCTTAATTACAACTCAGCAAACTCCACTCAATGCTCTTTCTTCCATAAAGAAAGATGTTCGCTTTTCTAATTGGTTGAACTGAATTTTTTTTTTAATTTCAGCGTTGTAATAGCCCGCGTGTTTACACTGTCAACTTTGTCAGTCGGTAAAAAGTTGCGATTTTGTAGTTACCCATTTAGCTGATAGTCTAAATGAGAGTTTAAATGTTTAAAGAGATTATACTTCACCGACTTTTATCCAGATCTAATCAGTACGTTAACGTACCGTTTGATAAAAGTAAAAGTGACAGCGTGTAAACCGGGACTTAGAGTAGTGGGAGTTGAGTTGTGATGTAAGGTCGTCTTCAGCGTTAGTTAGCCCTAAAGGCCTTCAAAAATTAAACGTTGAAGACAGTTTTTCCGATGTGTTTCGAGTTCAAGAAATATTGGCTCATATAAATAAATGCAAAAACATAAAATGTAGGTTATATTACAATTCAGTGGAAAAATCAAAAATAAACGAAACGAAATTATAATCCGAGTTTAAGCAGATTGAGGAATACGACAATGTATTCCTAAGAAATGACTGGTATTAATTCGTGTTTAACGCTAGATTCGATAAAGGTGATTTGGCCACAGATCACCAAATATATCTACGCCGTCACCCGTAGAATGTAGGGTGAAAGCTATTTTTAGTCTTTCTCTCCCTTTCCCTTTTCCCCCTTTCGCATGGCGATTTTTGTTGACGTTTTGGTGTAGAATCAAAGAAAAGGGTTTGCAACTACATTTTCTGCCAGGTTTTGGTGAATATTCATGATTTTGAGGCAGAAGGATACAAGAGTTGAGAGGTTGGTTAGGTTGAAATGTAAGACCGAAAATTGCATGTTTACTTGTCTCTACTCCCAGCTCGTGTATCTCAAGTTTTTCATGGTGAACCTCATACATGCTTTTTGGCAAGAGTTTGCCACATGTTGCTCCATCTGTGGCAGAAAGCGTTCTACCCAACTAAAATTTGGGAAAAGTTAGAGCTGATCTAAGATACGAGAATTAACATTAAAGTCAATGGGGAAATATTTAGTGATCTGTGACCATTTGGACTAATCAGTGCATAAGAGTTGTCTACTCCTTCAGAGTACGTATATAACGGTATTCGGGAATAGCAGGGGTTTATAATTCCCTTTCTGAGATTAAATTACACTACTGTACATCAATATATCGCCTTTCTGTGAGTAACCATATAACAACTAATATATTAACCATATTATAATGTAACATTGATTATAGATTTAGATACCCTATATAATATTATACTATGATACTAATATTTATATGCCTATATATTATAGTAAGTATTAAATGCATGATCTATGTATTGCTACCTACGGTGTACAGTATGTTTACTTTGAAATAAAAGATATTCTTTATTATTTTTCTTGCTTCACTGTCGGTATATGTTACATTCACTATAAACCCTGTCTAAAGGTAGGTCAACATTTGTTGCGGCACTTGTGCCTGCATTGGTAGTCTCGGTCACCCAGAACCTCCTAGTCTTCGACGTTCGGAGAGTCTGTGATCGCACTCGGCAAATCTCGGCAGATTCCGGTACCCTACATCTAACCTCGGCTGTATGATAGTAATTGATATGTACCTACGCCCATACATTTGCAATGCGGCTACCGGTTTACTTTAACAGGAAAACGTGCCGCTTTTACAAAAAAGTCCCAAAATGGCGTCTTTTGTCGAGTGTATATAACTAAACGAGCAGAGATATTGTCTCAAGGCTGCTGGTTTGATATAATTCCCTGGTAATTCCCCAAACCCAATGCCAAACTTGACGTTTGTTGATATAATACATTCTCTACAGAAATCTCCATTGGCGCAGCCATTTTTCATCCGGGACCTTTAAAATAGTTCCAATATGGCGGAATTCGTCATACAGCCGAGATTAGATGCGTAGAA